CTGAATTTTAGACCGCAACCATCATAAATATGAGTCAATGGCCAAGAGTCTGAATTTTAATCTTGTGACCACGGGGATGTTGCAACGGTCGTAAGTATGAAAAACAATCATGAGTCACTTTTATCAGTGCCGTTGTAACATCGGTCACTAAACGAACTGTTGTAAGTCGAAGACTACCTGTACAATTAGATATCTAATTGCTTTTCTTTCTCCAAAGTAGAATTCAGACAGAGAATTGTTGGGCTGAAAAGGCAAATTTGGAAATAAAATGGAAATCTCATTTCAGTATGACGATGGCTCCAGTCTAAACCTCCCCTGGAGTCCGTCTTGGCCCGTTAGAAATGACAAGTAAGAACCCAGAGCCGTGATGGCGAAGAGCTTTGCGCACCATCGCTAGCTGCTCTTCCGGTTTCTGGCGCTGGCCAGCTGTCTTTCTGATGCCAAAGCAACGGAAAACAGCCCCCCAAAACAGCCCCTAAACAGGCTGTTTTTCAGGCTGTTTTGGGGGGCATTTTGGTGCAAAAATGGCCTTTAATCGGCCCCCAAAAGGCCTGAAAACATACCAGAAAACGGCTCAAAATTGGCCTTAAAATGGCCAAAAAACAGGCCATTTTCCAGCCATTTTGGGCTGTTTTCAGGGCTGGTTTTGGTATGAAAAATGGCCTAAAAATGGTCCAGAAAACAGCCCCAAACAGTCCAAAAACGGCATGAAAACAGCCCAGAAAACAGTGTTAAAACAACCCCAAAACAGGCCATTTCCCAGGGCGTTTTTCGGGCTGTTTGCAGGCTGTTTTGGGGGGCATTTTGTTGCAAAAATGGCCTGAAAACAGCCTGAAAACTGCCCAGAAAAATGGCCCGAAAATGGCCTTAAAATAGTAAAAAAAAAACCAGGCTGTTTTCTGGCTGTGCTTTGGCCCATTTTCAGGGCTGGTTTTGGTGTGAAAAACGGCCTGAAAACAGCTGGAAAATGGCCCAGAAAACAGCTGAAAAACAGCCGAAAAACAGATTGAAAACGGCCAAAAAATGGCCAAAAAACAGGCCATTTCCGAGGCCGTTTTTCGGGCTGTTTTCAGGCTGTTTTGGGGGCCATTTTTGCACCAAAATGGCCCCCCCAAAACAGCCTGAAAACAGCCCAAAAAATGGCCTCGGAAATGGCCTGTTTTGGGGTTGTTTTAACACTGTTTCCTGGGCTGTTTTCATGCCGTTTTTGGACTGTTTGGGGCCAGCTGTTCATTGGTTTTCTGGCGCTCCGTCATGCACACATGCACGTGAATGTACGCGCATTCTGGTTTGGGCGCTCGGTGCCGAAAAGGTTCGCCATCACCGCCCTAGGGGGGTCTCTTGAGGAGGGGAGATTAATAAACACATCACAAGATTTGATCTTTCCAACTTTTCCAGAGCTCCTCACAACACTCTTGAGTTCTTTGCTACGTCGTTCCAACCGGATGGGTGGACTACAACTCCCAGAATTCCCCAAGCCGGAATCCTTGCTGGCTGGGGAATTCTGGGAGTTGAAGTCCCCCTGTCTTAAAGGGCCAAGGTTGAGGCCAACACTAACCCAACCTTACCAGGTTTCTTGAGAGCTACACGAAGAACAGGAAATTACAGGTAGCGCTCAACATACGACCAGAATCGGGCCCAGAATTTCCACCGTTAAGCAAGGCGGTGGTTCAGCAAGCCACGTACGATTTTGCCACATTTTGGGGGCCCAGGTTGTTCAGCGAACCTAGGCAATTTGTTAAGTGAATCCTGTGGTCGTTAAGCGATTCCACCTTCTCCCATTGATTTTGCTGGTCGGTAGCTGGACACGACGACTGTCATAAATACAATCAAATTTTGATCACGTGACCTTGGGGATGCTGCGACCGTCGTAAGGGCGAGGAAAGCGGTACGTCACTTTTTTCCAGTGCCGCAATTTTGAGCGGTCACTAAACGAAGGATTGCAAAGTCGAGGACTGCTGTCGCCACCGCACGGTCCGTGACGTAGGACCCCAATCGAGCCCGAGGTTGATGTTGCTAAGTGAGATGTTCGTTAAACGAGTCCTGCCCCGTTTTATGACCTCCCTTGCCACCCTCGCTAGGTGAACCCCTGCCGTCCTTGAGGGGGGGGGTGTCACACGGTCGTTAAGCACATCCGACTTGCCAAAGGGCATCTGCAGGACCCAGGGAACACTACAACCGTCGTAAGTATGAGTCCATTTTTAACTGTCTGAATTTTGAATCCCACGGGGAATTTGCATGTGTGAAAAATAGTCACTTTTTTTCCACTGGTGTCGTAACTCGTGAAATGAACCGTCGTAAGTCGAGAACTACTGGTAGCTTAGGCGCCTAGAGGTACCGTTATTGCTTGAAAACAGGAGAGGAAGAGAGAGGGGGAAGTCTCTCTCCAGGGTGAGAAGACCCCCATCAAAAGGCGGAGATTGTCATTGGTGAGACCCCCCTTTTCCGGACTGGACGACGGTCGGACGACGGTCGGAGCTGATTGTCTGAATTCGGAGCGAGTCCGTGGCCTGCAGCCGGTTCGTCTTACGCAGTCTGAACTGCCACGGGGTACAGCAAGGAAAAGTGCTCGGCCCCTTTGACGGGCAGTTCTCGAGTGGTGTAGTGATGGATGACCTCTGGGATGCTCTCGAAAGGAGCGCTGTTTTGGCCCAAGATGTACCTGTTGTCCTTCGTTCGGGTGAACTTCATGTGCATAAAACTTTGGCTGCTCCTGCGCGAGAAAAGAAGACACGAATTAGATTTGGTGAGGTTTTCTTTAGAGAGACGCGGCGGCCCAGGGGTGAGAATGCAGGATTGCAGGCTGACTCTGCCCACTGCCAGCAGTTCGATCCTGACCGGCTCAAGGTGGACTCAGCCTTCCGTCCTTCTGAGGTGGGTAAAATGAGGACCCAGATTGTTGGGGGCAAGAGGCTGACTTTGTAAACTGCTTAGAGAGGGCTGTAAAGCACTGTATGGGAGTATATAAGTTTAAGCACTATTGCTATTATCTCTCTCTCTCTCTCTCTCTCTCTCTCTCTCTCTCTCTCTCTCTCTCTCTCTATCTATGTATCTATCGATCTATCCACCCATTATATAGTATATACTGTATATGTATAATCTCTCTCTATATCTATACCTACCTATCATCTATCTCTCATCTCTCTCTCATCTATCTCTCGTCTCTATCTATCTATCTATCTATCTATCTATCTATCTATCATCATCTCTCTCTCTCACATCTATCATCTCTCTCTCAGCTATCTATCTCTCATCTCTCTATCACTCTATACCTACCTACCTACATCTATCTATCTATCTATCTATCTATCTATCTATCTATCTATCTATCTATCTATCTATCTATCCTCTCTCTCATCTCTCTTTCTCATCCCTCTATCTATCTACCTCTCATCTCTCTCTATCATCTATCTGTCTCTTGTCTGTCTATCTATACCTACCTACATCTATCTATCTATCTATCTATCTATCTATCTATCTATCTATCTATCTATTATCTATCATCTATCATCTCTCTCTCTCATCTCTCTCTCTCTCTCTCATCTATCTACCACTCTATACCTACCTACATCCATCTATCCATCTATCTATATATATATCTGTTTATCTATTCTATAGAAAAACTCTCCCAGGAACCTGCAATAGCCTTTGGCTACAGATATTCTAGTCCAGTGTTTGCCAACTGATAGGCCAGAGACCACTGGTAGTCCGTGAGATAATTTTGGTGGTCCGCAGAGAAATGTCACCCTCAAAGCAATTAATCCAGGCTGAATGGGAACACAAGACTGCGCTGCCCACATGGCCCGCGGGAGCACAAGGCTTGCGTCGCTTGCATTGCGAACAACACGAGGTAGTGAGGGGAGGGGGGAAAGGGGGGAGAACTTGCCCTACTCACCCCACGTGCCTGGCCTGGCCCCAGGTTGCTTCTTTCTGCTTCTTTCTTCTTCTGCTTTTGGCTGCATGCAAGGAAAGCAGCCAAAGTCTTTCTTTCTCTCCCCCAAACTCCGCCAGAAATGAGTCTTTGGGACCCTGCAAGGCCTCCTGCTCAGAGAGGCTGCGCCAGTACGACAAGACTCGCAAAGACTCATTTCTGGCGGAGTTTGGGGGAGAGAAAGACAGACTTCTGCAGCTTCTGCTGCTTTCCTTGCATGAAGCCAAAAGTCTCTCTCTCTCTTTCTCCCTGAGAACGGAGCTGAAAAGCAGGTTAGGAATGTGGCTGCCTTGGAGAGGGAAGGTGTGTGTGTGTGTGTGTGTGTGTGGGACCGCTATGTGTGTGTGTCTTTGTGGTGTGTGTGGGGGAGAGAGAGAGAGAGAAAGAGAACATCACTGCCAGGTTAGATCGGATCTCTCTCTCTCTCTCTCTCTCATTCTCTCTCTCTCTCTCTCTCTCTCCCCTTCCCTCCCTCCCTCTCTCCCACCAATGTCAGCAAGCCACCATCACTCAAATTCAAATTAGTGGTCCAAGGATTTAAAATTATGAGTTTGGTGGTCCCTGAGGTCCAAAAGGTTGGTGACCCGCTAGTCCAAAACATTGTAAACAGAAAACAAAATCCAACAAAGCAAGATAAGGCAATAAATCCGGCAAGGCAGTAAATCAAACCAGTTGGGAGGATTCCAGGAATGCAGATAACGGCAGCCAACATTTAGATAAACTCCACTTTTCTTCCAGGCAAACGGCAGCTTGCAACTGCCTCTCCTTTAAACTCTCTCCCCAGGCATACCTTGTGAAGGGAATCAGGGCCCTGTCCTCCCTCGTAAGGCACACAACCCACGTTGCTCCCTTCTCCGTTCCACACTGCGTGCCCTAGGATGAAGAGGGGGGTAGGCCTGGGTCTTCCTCCGAACTCCCTCTCCCTTGTTTTACCTCCCTGCTGCTCTGCCCAGCTGGACTTTGCCCTTCCCCGGTTTTCTCTACAAGGGAGCCGCTCTCCCATTCCCTGTCAGCTGACTGCCTTCCCCCTCAGATTCAGACTCTGACTGCGGCGTGACAACAAGTGGTTGTAAGTCGAGGAGCACCTGTGCAGCGTCCCAAAGGGGCGGGGCCTCCGGTGTAACACCACACCTCCCATTTTGCAGGCTCTCCTGAGCTACCTCCTTCTCTTCTGCCTCCGGGTTGCTTCCAAAATTGAATTATTCTCATGCTAAAACGTCTCTTTTGATGTGCATTTATGAGTTGGAGCCCAGATGGGGACCAGATGGGGTTTTTTCCCGTCCCTCTCTTTTTCCAACTGGGACCTGCGCCCAAAGAAGCAGCTGCTACGGTGATAGAAACATTATTTCTGCTTGCACTGTGACATCTTGGGGTGCTAAATTTGGGGAGCATTTGGGGAAGGTGGGAGAACGAGGGCGACGAAGGAAGAACATTGAGACTCGGAACAAAAAAAAACCCCTCAATTTCGGGTGGAGACTCGCGAAAGCTTAATAAAAGGGGTATTGAACTCAAAGCCCCTGGGCCAGATCCAGCCCACCCTGGAAAGAGCAAAGGACCGGCCCTCGGTCCCTCTTACAGGAGGCCATCGCAGCCAAAAATGGGGCCATCGGTCAGAAATGGTGTAGGGTCTCCTGCCTGGGCAGGGGGGGTTGGACTAGATGACCTACAAGGTCCCATCGGTCAGAAATGGTGTAGGGTCTCCTGC